TCATCTTTTTTGGGATAGATATCTGTATGAGGCAAATGTAACTAATTTGTAAGGTTAATATAGTTGAAACTTGAAACATATATATAGTCCTGGGCGTTCGGGTATTCGGTTCAGTTCGGGTCGGGTATTTCGGATATCGGTCTTTCGATTTTAAAATTTTGAACCTATTCGGGTATTTTTAATTTTCCGTTCGGTTTGGGTTCGGTATATGGTTCTTTTGTTTAACAACCTAAATATATCCGAACTTTTTTGGGGTGCAATTTTGATCGGTTATTTAATACCCAAACCTATCCGAAACTACCCAAAACTTGCAAAAAATACCCTAAAGTATTTATATTATCCACAGTGTATAAAAATGAATAAAATATATATTATGAGTATAAGTACCAAAAATTTTGGATTTGTTCGGGTCTACTTCGGGTATCGGTTCGGTTCGGGTATTACCCGATACTCGAATTTATTTAGCCTCAAAATCTCGCATATTTTAAAGTTTTTGGGTCGGTTCGGTTCAAGTATTTCAGTTCGGTTTGGGTCGGGTATTTCGGTTCGGTGATTATGCCCAGATCTAATATATATACTACAAGAATTCAATGCATTCTTGACACATACTACAAGCTTTTTGTTTTGTTTTGTCTGGCAGATGGTGGAATGATCTAAACCTTGCATCTAAGCTTCCTTACATCAGGGATAGAATTGTGGAGGTCTATTTCCCTGCATTGGGACTCTATATCGAGCCACGATATTCACTTGGGAGGATTATAGCAACTAAAATTATCATGGTCACGGTTGTTTTGGACGACACATGTGATGCATATGCCACTTTCCCTGAAGCTAAAAGTCTCATCGAGTCTGTGCAAAGGTAAATATATGCATGCATGGATCGTTTTTGCCTAGTACATTTTTTTCTTAAAACTTAGCCCTAGGTACGTACGTATTCTTAACTTTAGTTGAATGTCTAACAAGAAGAAACATATATGCTTGTCAAAATGGACAGGTGGGATCTTGGTGCAATTGATGAACTGCCAAGCTATTTGAAAGTTGTCATCAGAGCTTTAGTGGAAACTGTGGACGACATTGAAAAAGAAATGAAGCCACGAGGAAGATCCGCTAGCGTGCAGCAAGCGATAGATGAGGTAATAGGTCAGATTTATAAATATATAAGAACATCTCCGTTGTGAAAGAAATACTAAAATAGTTGATGAAATCGTAGATTAAGAGTTTGGGGAGAGCGTACCTAGCGATATCAAAATGGGCACGCAAAGGTCATGTGCCAACTTTTGATGAGTACATGGAAGTTGGGCTGGTCAGTGGAGGTATGAATGACTATGCAGCAGACGGTTTTATCGGTATGGAAGACTGTGATGAGAAGCAAACGAACGAATGGTTCAATTCTGAACCAAAGATCTTCGACGCTTTGAGTACTATCTACCGTCTAGGAAACGACATAGCCAGCTTCGAGGTATAAAAATGATTTTCTTTATTTTGTTTCTTAGAAATTTTAAGCTCAAAAGGTTTATTTATATTTATATATATACATGAATGAGGCAGGGAGAGCTGAGCAGAGGAGAGGTAGCAAATGGTGTAAACTGTTACATGAAACAGTATGGGGTTACGAAAGATGAAGCGTTTAGGGCACTGGAGAAGATGTGCAGAGATAATTATAAGATAGTGATCGAGGAGTTCTTGAACACAACTTGTGTACCACGGCAGATTTTGCTGCGATGTCTCAACATTCCACGAGTGATCGATGTGTATTACAAGGAGGGTACTGATGATTTCACCAATCCTCATGGAACTCTCAGAGAACACATAACTTCTTTCCTACTCCAACCCATTCCGCTTTAAACATTCCCCCACTTTAAAGTTACATTTCCTTTCCCTACTTGTTATGTATTGACGTTCTTGATTGTAAACTTTGTATTTGAATCAAATCCACTTAAATTGACTACTGGGTAACATTAAAATCAATAAGTTTTTCAGTAAGTTTTTGGAGATAACAGAAGCAACAAGATGCATCTAACGCATATTAAGTGAGACACGAAGGATAATCATGGACAAGTCCAATTTTAAATCTAACTACAGTATACTCTATGGTTTTTCCAAAATAACACATTTTTTTAGTTTTACTTCCGAAAGTAGCATTATTTTAAGCTCTTATTTTAATTTTTCAATAATAGCATAAAAATCAAATAATTATTTTCTCTTTCAACATAAAGAATTCAAACACAAAAAAGCAAAAAATTAGCCAGAGACGACAAAGAGTATGAGCATTACCAAACCCATAACTCTTTTGAGTAGAGACCTTTCTTTCTTCCATTCTCTACTAAAATCTCGTATCCATGGCGAAAACTCTTCTTCCCCGATCACAATCTTCCGTGACTTACTCCGTTCCTCTCTCATACCAAATCATTTCACAATCTCCATCCTTCTCCAAGCCTCTACACCCTCTTCATCTCCTCATCATGCCTCTGTCGATTCGTTGAAGTTAGTCCAAACCCATCTCACAAAATCAGGTCTTGATCGTTTCGTGTACGTGAAAACATCTCTTCTCGATCTCTACCTAAAAATGGGTTTTGTTAATACCGCACGAGTGTTGTTCGATGAAATGCCTGAGAGAGATACAGTTGCTTGGAACGCATTGATTTCTGGGTACTCACGAAATGGCTATGAACGTGACGCGTGGCAGCTCTTTATTTCAATGCTTCAGCAAGGGTTTCTTCCATCTGCAACCACACTTGTAAATTTGCTACCTTTTTGTGGACAATGTGGATTCGTTTCTCAAGGGAGGTCTGTTCATGGTATTGCCGCAAAGTCTGGACTGGAAATGGATTCTCAGGTGAAGAATGCGTTGATTTCGTTTTATTCAAAGTGTACAGAGTTGGATTCAGCAGAATTGTTATTTACAGAGATGAAAGATAAAAGCACAGTTTCTTGGAATACAATGATTGGTGCTTATAGCCAGAGTGGACTCCAGGAAGAAGCTTTCACTGTTTTCAAGAATATGTTTGGGGAGAGAGTTGAGATTAGTTCAGTCACTATCATCAATCTTCTCTCTGCTCATGTTAGTCAAGAGCCGTTGCATTGTCTTGTTGTTAAAACTGGAATGGTGAACGATAACTCAGTGATTACTTCTCTGATTTGTGCATATTCAAGAAATGGGTATTTGGATTCAGCAGAGCGTCTCTACGCATCTGCTACAGAAGACAGTATTGTTGGTCTAACTTCGATTGTTTCAAGCTATGCAGAGAAAGGAGATATGGACACTGTGGTTTTGTATTTCTCTAAAATGCGTCAGCTGTGTATGAGAATTGACGCTGTAGCTTTGCTTGGAATCCTCCATGGATGTACAAACTCTTCCCACATCGACGTAGGAATGTCGTTACATGGTTACGCGATCAAAAGCGGATTGTGCACGCAAACACTGGTTGTGAATGGACTGATAACAATGTACTCTAAGTTTGATGATGTGGAGACTGTCCTGTTTTTGTTTGAGCAGCTGCATGAGGCTCCTCTGATAAGCTGGAACTCGGTGATATCGGGGTGTGTACAGTCTGGAAGGGCAAGCACAGCGTTTGAGGTTTTCCATCAGATGAAGCTAAGCGGTGGACCTATGCCGGATGCGATTACAATAGCAAGTTTGCTTGCTGGATGCTCCCAGCTCTGTTGCTTGAATTTCGGGAAGAAGCTTCATGGTTATACTCTTAGGAACAGTTTGGAAAACGAGAAGTTTGTTTGCACTGCTCTTATTGATATGTATGCTAAATGTGGGAATGTAGTACTTGCGGAGAGTGTGTTCAAGAGCGTAAAAGCTCCGTGCACAGCAACATGGAACTCGATGATATCAGGATACAGCTTATCAGGGTTGCAAAGTCGAGCACTTTCTTGCTACTTGGAAATGCGGGAGCAGGGATTGAAACCTGACAGGATCACGTTTTTGGGGGTTTTGTCTGCTTGTACGCATGGAGGCCTTGTGGAAGAAGGAAAAATATGTTTCAGAGAAATGGTGAACGAGTTTGGAATATCTCCAAGTTTGCAGCATTATGCACTTATGGTTGGTTTGTTGGGTCGAGCATGTTTGTATACAGAGGCATTGAGTTTAATCTGGGAGATGGATTTAAAGCCGGATTCTGCAGTGTGGGGGGCTCTGCTTAGTGCATGCATTGTGAACAGAGAGGTCGAGCTTGGGGAATATGTAGCTAAGAAAATGTTTATGCTGGACTATAGAAATGGAGGGCTATATGTATTGATGTCAAATCTGTATGCAGCAGGAGAAATGTGGGACGATGTAGTCAGAGTCAGGAAGATGATGAAAGATCATGGCTACGATGGTTACTTGGGAGTTAGTCAAACATAATGTTTTCATTCTCAGAAACAATAGAATGAGATACTAATACGTTCTGTTCATACCTCGGTGTTTTTGCCTGACTCTGATGCGATTGTGAGGAGAATTAACTGGAAAGCTAGAACAGATCAGTTGTTGCTCATGCTTGCTTCGAATCCTTGAAAACGCCTTGAAGAATTTGCGATAGACCATCGAACAGATCTCTTTGTGGTTGGAAATAACAAAAAGGAAACTAGTTTTGGTTGATCATGAGACTTCTCAAAGCCGTGAAAGGGAGTTGGTGAGCAAAAGAGGCTCTACTTAGCTTCCTTAAGCATAATGTAAGTATTCCAAATCTATTCTTTATGAAAAGTATAAGAAAGTAGAGAGAAAATTATAGAGTCTGCTCTTATCGATGAAGCATAATGTAAGTATTTCCAAGACCCCAACCGTTGACATAAGAAAAAAACCAGTGTAGTGTTGCTAACTCTCTAGTTTGATGAATTTTGATGTTCTAGTTTTGCTTTGTGGCTTGGAATAACTTCGTTGTAACTGTTGCATTTGTGTATCTATTTAGGTTCATGATGAGGTTTCAGATTCAGATTGTTGCATTCGTGTTTAGCTTTATGTGACTGCCGTATATCTGAAATCAGTCTCTCTATTATGACATTAATGGGTCTCAGATTTTCTTAGGTGCATAAATTTCAAGAATCTGACTTAAGAGTGTCTCGAGTTTCATGAGTTTTCTGCATCCAACCCTAAAGTAACATTAACATTCTGAACAATCTACATGACTCAGCCGCTAAGTACCTGGTTTTTGAGTGTTTATTCTGTTTCCTAATGTTTCTCTTATTTCTCAGATCCACAAAATATTAATGTCAATTTCCTGAATTATTTGTGTTTGATATATATCTTCTTTGTCTAGGCTCTCCTTATGATGCAAGACAAGAATATCTTTCTGCTGATGGATTCAAGTTCTCTGAAGAAGAAGAAGCTAAGGTAATCATGTGAAAAACTCAAATCTGATATTTTAATATCTGGAATTTAACAAAATCAAGATCTAGATCATCTATGAACAGTGATGAAACACCTTAACAATGTATAGTTTGATGTTGATGAGTTACTAAAAATGTTTTCTTGTCTCTCTCTCTCTGACACTTCTCACTCTCTCTTATAATCAGGACTCAAGACCTAACTATGAATGAGCCCCACTGCATCTATCCTCGCCGACCAAACCATCTCTCTTCATCTTCTCCTCTTTAGCCTTACGACAAAACACAACCCAAGAGTTAACTTCCATGGCCACACAGACCCCAACCAGCGTCGACAGACACATACAGTAACCCAGCTTCGCATACGACCCTCCTTCCCTCAAAACCTCAAACCCTTGGAACACATTCACCACACCCATCACCACGCAACCATACCCAACAAAATGATGGTAAGACTTCCAATACCTCCTGAACTTGTTCGTCGTCTTTGGTCTAAACAGCAACGCCAGCGTCTGCAGCGCAGCCGCAACGAACGTAGCTATCCCGAGGCTCCGGTGTAAGCCATAGGTCACTCCTGGAGAGTTCCGGCCGAGCACGATCCCCAATGAGAAGCCTATAGTTCCGAGGAGGAAACCGGTTAGCTGTATAGCTGCGTGGATGTAGAACCAAGTTGGTCCGATTGATTGCATTTGACGAAGGTATCTAGCTGTTACCGCTCCCGCCGGAAGGAGTAAACCCCAAGCCACCGCGTTGATTACTCCGTGCGTCACTTTCAGAGCTCTCGAACCGCTGTTTCGGTTAACCGTTGCAAATCCTGTAGAATAGCAAACGGTATAAGATCAAGCTGGACTGTGATGCCTGAAGTAATATATACTCGCTGGTTCCAAATTATTTGTAGTTTTGGTAAAATGTATCTGCAATAACTAATTTGAAACGGAGGGAGTAACTAATTCAGATACCTGAAGTGACATCGAAGGTGGAGAAGGAGGAGAGATCAGTGGAAGTGGTTGGATGAATAGTGGGAGAGTAGCCTTGAACGTAGAGTCCTCTGTTCCACACATGGTGGATCTTGGTGTTGTTGGAGGAGAGTTTGACGGAGGCGTAAATCTGAACGGAGGCGCCGTTGCGGATTGTGGCCATGTTACCGCCGTAGAGAGAAGCAGAGGAGGAAGAGAGACGGAGGAGGTCGAGGGGACGAGAAAGCAGAGGAGATTTCTGGAGCTTGACAGAGGAATCAAGAACGTAAGGGAGGAGGATGAGCTGGCCGGAGTTCGGATCCGGAAACGCGACGAGGACTCTGGAGCCGGTCATCTGAGCCGGAGAGTCCGGGTTAATCCCCCACCCGACCCAACCGGAAGGTGAGATGAAAGTTCCGAAGAAGCAGAGGTCGAGAGTTGCGTTGTTCGGATGGTATGTCCACGCGATTGAGGCTTGTTGCGTCGGTAAAGAGATGCATTTCGCGAATGTTTTAGTCGCGGTGGTGGTGGTGCATTTGCCGGAGACTGACGCCGGAAGTATTGCTGCTAAGAGAAGCAGAAGAAATGGTAGAGTCACTGTGATAGTCGTCGTCATTGTTTGATCATCTCTCTGTTGGTGGAATTGGAGTATATGTAGTGAAAATTTGGTTATGATTGCTACCAGAAAAATCTCTGACGCCTTTTGTGGAGATGAAATTATGATTTTTTTCTTTTCTCCATTGAAGCCTTTGCTTTGAAGCCAAGTGATGATCACTCACGAAGATACAGTTGGTTGGTTGTGTAATATTTGGACATCTTTTCAGCATATAATTATGGTTTTTTTCTGCTATGAATAAAATAAATAAAATCTGACGTGGAAATAGATACATGAAAACGGCGTCGTGTTTTGATTTCTTAAAAAGTTCTGTTCGGAGAAGAGGAAGAAGAAGAAGATGGTGACAACAATGGCGATTCAGGTGAGCTTAGAGGGGAAGAGAGTGGTGTTGGTTCCGTACATGGCGGAACATGTTCCAAGGTACCACAACTGGATGCAGGACGAAGAGCTTCTCCAAGCTACGGGATCTGAGCCGTTGAGTCTCGAGCAGGAGTATGAGATGCAAATCTCCTGGACTCAAGATCCCAATAGTATAATTCTTACTTATTCCATCTTTTTATCTGAATTTTGATCATTTTCCGTCGTTTTTTTTACTCAATTAGGGTTTTGGGTTTTTCATTTGGACTGCCCCAGAATCTCAAAGTTGACTTTTTTTTTTTTTTTCCATCTGGGTTTTGATCATTAGCCTTGTAGTTTCGTATGAAGTTCATTGATTCTTGTCTCATAACCAATTATAACTCAATGGACTCATAATCAACTAAAAATGAGTAGAGAAGTTTCATGCTTCTCTGTAAATGTAGGTTTCCTAATGCTTCTTCTGTTGTTGGTTTGTCATGATTTCAGAGCGGACGTTCATTGTGTTGGATAAGGATTTCATAAAGGAAGACTTGCTTCATGGTGAACCTCATGTAGAAGGTTTGTTTCCTGTATTACTTCACTAGTTCACTTGAGGAGATGATGAATAAAAGAGATTACTTTAAGCATGCGTCGGTCTTGGGAAACACTCTCTCCCTTTGGAATTGGTCTTACAACAAAGTGTGTACAGCGCCCGGAAATGAGAACATATCTACAAGACTGCTCCTTTGTTAGTGGTTTAGATCATTAATGATCACTGGTTAGCTTTGTGAAAAAAGGTCTATTAGACACGCTTGGATGTTCTTCTAAGTTTTTTTTGGTGGGCATTGTTTTCATGTTGAGTCATTGTAAATAAGTAACCGAGGGTTTTGTGCAGCCATGACAGGTGATGTGAATATTTACATGAACGATGTGGACGATCCTAAGGTTGCAGAGGTCGAAATAATGATAGCTGAGCCCGGAAGGTAACTTCATTCTTCTTCTTTCACATGTCAACAATAACAGTGTCTTGAGATTCTCAATGGACTCCTGTTTTTGCACATGATTCGTTCGTTTATGTTACAACTCTTGGTGTAGAGTAGCCGTGGTAAAGGATTAGGAAAGGAATCTGTCTTGATGATGATGGCTTACGCTGTCAAAAACTTAGAGATTCACAAGTTTACAGCCAAAATCGGAGACTCAAACTCAGCCTCTCTCAGCTTATTCCGCAAACTGGTAACAACAATAACTCCCTCTGTTTTGCCTCACATGTATTTACTCCATACCCAAATTTACAAAGAAAAAATGGCCCAACATTCTTGTTGTTGTTGTTGTTGTAGGGTTTTGAGGAGTCTTCTTATAGCAATATATTCAAAGAGGTAAGTAATGTTTTTGCATGTTCCTTTTCTCTTCCTGTTGGTTCTTACATTTGGCTGAGTCTAGTTAGTCTTTGTTTACTCGGCAGGTCACACTCGAGTATATAGTGACAGATCTCCGGCGAGCAGAGCTCTTGAAGCTATTGGAGAATGTCATCACGCACACTCTTTCATCGGACAATCCATCAGATTTGCTGCTAACAGAAGAAGCTATTGCTTAAAGCTTTTTTGAGGGTCCATAAAAAACACAAAATTATTTTCTGTATTTCTTTTAATTTAAATTAAAGACAACCTTTTATCAAGAAAAAAAAGCTTTTTTTGTTGTTCAATGCTTATTAATAATCTGGGAATTCGGTTAACCGGTCGGGTTCGGGTCGGTTAAATCGGGTTTCGGGTATTCGGGTTTGGAAATCTAGTAACCGTTCGGGTCGGGTTCGGGTTTGAAATTTCGGTTTCGGGTCGGTATTCGGGTTGCATCCAAAACCCGAGATTAAACCGATTTTTTTTCGGTTTCGGTTAATTGTCGGGTTTTCGGGTTTTTTAACCTGATTCCGCCGTCACCAGCAACATCCCCAATGCCAAAAACTCTGAAACCCTAAATCTCAATGAATAATTTCATAGATCTCTTTTTGTCAATTACCCCCTCCTCTCATCTCTGCATCATTTCTTCTTCTCATACTTCCACTCTGATCACTATTCCGATCTCTCCTTTTTATGGTGCAGAGGAATCATCTTCTGCTCTCACAAAACCGCTAGCCTCTTAAAGAAATCCTTCAAATCCCGTCATAAGCTTGATGAAGAAAAAATTAAGCATATAAAGAAAAGGATTTTAGTTCTTGTTGGAATTGAAGATTGTGTAAAGAGAAAGAATATGATAGAGATTGCAAAGAGATGCAAAAGGAAAATCTTTGTGGATTTGAGAAAATGTGGAGGAGGCGCTGTTTTTTAGGAGGAGCTGCATGTTTTTTAGGTTTTGGGTTTGGGTTATCGGTTATCGATTATTCATTCGGTTATTGGTTATAAACCGAACCGAACCGAACCCGATCTCAAATCAAAATCAGAACCAATCGGTTAATATGGTAAACCCAAACCCGACTCGGGTCAGGTTTTTCGGGTCGTATGGGAGTTCGGTTATCGGGCCCGGGTAAAAGTTGCGGGCCTACTTATTATTGTTAGAGATCATGAGTATCATGTACCGTGGCTGAGCCTAACCAATGATTGTAACAGAATGATGTATCTCTAGATTTTATGGAGACTCAAAGCTTCTAAACCAACCATACATAGTAAATGACAATTTCAGCACACTCTAGCTTACAAGAGAATACTAAACCGGAAACAAACCGAACTACGAATGGTTTTTAATGATTTAGTTTTTGTAAAACCGAACCGAAATCAAACACAGAAGTAAACAAAGCCAAAAACGTGGACTTCTTTTCCTCCACTTCAAATTCAATCCACACTCAATCACAGAAACTTCCACCACAGATTGTTCCATAGTCTCACAAAATCCCTGCGAATTCTCGCGGGGTCTCTTCCGCACTAATGGCCTCCTCTCGTTCTCTTCTCTTTTCTTCTTCCTTCCTCTCCAAACCCTCTTCCTTCACTTCTTCTCTCAGACGCTTTGTTTACCTTCCGTCTCAGACCCCCGGATTCTTGCCAAGGCGACATGGTTTCTCCACCGTCTTCGCCGTCGCCACCGAGCCGGCTATCTCCAGCATCGAGCCGAATAAGAAGCCGGAGCCATCCACGGTCCCTCTTCCCAGCAATAACTCATCCGAGAAGCTGCTGAAAATTCGTCATACGGTAAATACACTTTTTGGGCTCCTCTCTGTTCTGTGATTCTGAGTCGATACGAATTAGCTATGCGGAATTGAAAACTATTTAATTTCTTTCATTTCTTATCTTAGCTAAATTGGGTTTTGCAAAAGTCTTGATTTTGATTCACTCTCATTGAGAAATGTTTAGAATTTTGGGAATACTGTTTTAGGCTCAATTTCTCCTGGTGGGTGCATTTTTCAGAACTTGTTGAGCTGAATATGATAGTTTTATGAGAATTCTTAACTTTTATGCTGTTAGCTAAGTTGGGTTTTGCAAAAGTCTGAATTTTGATTCATGAGAAATGTTTGAAATTTTGGTAACACTGATAAATTGAGAGGCTTTATGCTCAAAGAAAGTGATGTATCAAATTCGATTTGTGGTTGCATTGTTCAGAAATGATAGTAACTTGTTGAGCTGAATTGTGTGAATGCAGTGTGCGCATGTAATGGCCATGGCTGTTCAGAAACTCTTCCCTGATGCAAAAGTTACTATTGGCCCCTGGATTGATAACGGTTTCTACTACGATTTCGATATGGAGCCTTTAACAGATAAAGACCTCAAAAGAATCAAGAAAGAGATGGTGAGTCTCTGATGAAGTGGTTACTCTTGATTAGTGTTTCCTAAACTCGCTTTTGATTTTCTCGGTTACATTATCTGTAGGATCGTATCATTAGTCGGAATTTACCACTTTTACGAGAAGAAGTCTCTAGAGAAGAAGCACAGAAAAGGATCATGGCGATCAACGAGCCTTATAAGATGGAGATTTTGGATAGTATCAAGGAAGAGCCCATCACTGTTTATCATATTGGTACACTGTAGCTTCTTGCTTGCTTTGCTTTTTTATAAAGTATCTGTCAATTTTTAGTTTGGTAATAGCTTGTCTCCATCTTATGCCAGTTCGAATGACCATCTAGGTAATGAATGGTGGGATCTTTGTGCTGGTCCTCACGTCGAAACCACAGGGAAGATAAACAAGAAAGCTGTTGAGCTTGAATCTGTTGCTGGTGCTTACTGGAGAGGAGATGAAAAGAGGCAAATGCTTCAGAGGATCTATGGAACGGCTTGGGAGAATGAAGAACAACTAAAAGCGTATCTTCATTTCAAAGAAGAAGCTAAACGCAGAGATCATAGACGCATTGGCCAAGATCTTGATCTGTTTTCCATCCAGGTTAATAGCCAGATTTCAGTTTTCAAAATGATATTTTATTTTGTGAAAACTATTACATAAGGCTTTCAAAACTGCAGGATGAAGCTGGAGGAGGATTAGTGTTTTGGCATCCGAAAGGAGCGATTGTTAGAAACATAATCGAAGACTCGTGGAAGAAGATGCATGTCGAACACGGTTATGATCTGATCTACACACCTCACGTTGCCAAAGCTGATCTATGGAAGATCAGTGGTCACTTGGACTTCTACAGAGAGAACATGTATGATCAAATGGAGATAGAAGACGAGCTTTATCAACTACGTCCCATGAATTGTCCTTACCACATCTTGCTCTACCAAAGAAAGCGTCAGTCATATCGAGACTTGCCTATAAGAGTCGCAGAGCTTGGTACGGTTTACAGATACGAGTTGTCTGGTAGCTTACACGGCCTCTTCCGTGTCAGAGGATTCACACAGGTTACCTCAAAACATCTTCAATCTAATATATAAGTCTAAATCCTGTTAAGTACTATGATTAACTTAACTAGCATTTGCTTTGGCAGGACGATGCACACATATTTTGTTTGGAAGATCAGATCAAAGACGAGATCAGAGGTGTTCTAGACCTCACAGAAGAGATACTGTCGAGGTTTGGTTTCGATAAGTACGAGGTTAACTTATCAACAAGACCTGAGAAATCAGTTGGAAGTGATGATATATGGGAAAAGGCAACGTGTGCACTTAAGGATGCTTTAGATGATAAAGGATGGAGCTATGAGGTTGATGAAGGAGGTGGTGCTTTTTACGGTCCAAAGATTGATCTTAAGATCGAAGATGCGTTGGGAAGAAAATGGCAATGCTCAACTATACAGGTAAGTAAAGTAAAGCTTCTTTCTTCTCTTATAAAACCGCAGGCTGCTTCCTCTGTGTTACCGGTTTCTTGTTTGGCACGCAGGTCGACTTCAATCTTCCGCAGAGGTTTGACATTACTTATGTGGACACAAACTCTGACAAGAAACGTCCTATAATGATTCACAGAGCTGTTTTAGGCTCGTTGGAACGATTTTTCGGGGTTCTTATTGAGCATTACGCAGGGGATTTTCCTTTATGGCTCTCTCCTGTTCAAGTACGGATTTTGCCTGTCACAGACAATCAGGTTTGTGTTCTTGATGAAGAAACTTTTTTTCTGTCTTGCATTGGTATTGGAATTGAAGTTGTGACTTAAAATGAGGAGATTTTTTTGCAGTTGGAGTTCTGCAAGGAAGTGAGTAAGAAGCTGAAAGCTTGTGGAGTGAGAGCTGAGTTGTGCCATGGAGAGAGGTTGCCGAAGCTTATAAGGAACGCGGAGACACAGAAGATCCCGTTAATGGCGGTTGTGGGACCTAAAGAAGTGGAGACTGGAACTGTTACTGTTAGATCGAGGTTTGGAGGAGAGCTTGGAACCATTCTTGTCGATGACTTCATTGATAAAATCAACATTGCAGTCGAAACAAGAACTGCTCTGTAATTACATTGTTTTTGAAACTTTACTTTGCTTTCTTGAAAAATCACTTGAAGTAGAAAAATAAAATATCAATTACAATACATTCTATGAATTATATTATTAGCACACTAAAATTTTACATATTTGTTTTAACAGAATTCTTTTATTATTTTTTAATTACTTTTCAGTTTATCATTTTTAAAATAAAATCTTCTTCACCACCATTTACCAAATTAACTCGACAAAAGAAGAATTTAACTATATATGATGTTGGCATGAAATGCTTTAAATAAATAAGATAAGCTGGACTTTCCAATATTTCCACTTGTTTGTGGAAAAACATACACTGCAAAGAATTTAGTGGATCAAGAAACCTTTTATTGTTTGGGTGCAAATGTGATGGATCAAGAAACTCCCACATTCACTGACCGACCGTTGAAAAGAAGGAAACAATTAACCGATCGAAAGCGTTCATGAGAATAGGGGAAAAGTTAGTGTCAACCAATAAACGGATTAAGTTCATGACGATGTGATTTTTCTTCATCATGATTGTGTTCACCATATTTTTAGACCCGATCGAAAGGTTGCGTATTTTATTATTTCAGTTTGGCATGCCTAATCAAAAGCTAAACGAATATAAAATATGAGTAGCAGCAAATCCTTTATCAAAAAAAAGAAAAAGAAAAAGAGTAGCGATTGTTTTTTTTTTTGATAAAAGAGTAGCGATTGTTTATCTTCAGTAACTATGAAATACTAGCAAATAAAAACGTTTTGGTTTGAAGAAAATTCGATACCGAGGGCGTCCAGTACAATCTAGATTCCAATGTGTTGTAAATTCTCGAATCATGTAAAAGAAATTAATAAACGTCAATCGCAATGATGGGATGATTCATAGATCGAACCGCACTAAGAAATGCATCCCAATCCAAAATTGTAGTCGACGCAACATAACATAACATATATAACTATTTTATTTTATTTTGAATCAAATTGGCAATGATTATTAAAAAAGGGGGTCGGTTCATGCTGTGTCGCACTAAATATGGACATGAGTACTTCCACATCCTGGTACTTCCCGCGTTAGGTAAACTTCATTTAATTTGACTCATTCTCCAATCTTTTTTTGTTCTTTAACAATCTTTTTTTTTATTTCTTGATTCAGTGCTTTCTTTCTATCTTCATCCTCCATTGCTACATGATTTTTGTTTTAAATTCTACATGTAGTTGTTTTTGAGTTATATAATTATCTTATATTTAGTTGTGATAAATGAAGCAATAAGAGTATTTGGGCAACGTAACCCTTTAACTTTAATAGTGTCTAATCCTAATTTTAAATTATCTAATATTAACCTCAGCATTAGTTATACTTTTAGCATGTCATAATTCAGTTAAATTGTACTTACATATTTTAAAATAATGTTCTTTTACTTCTTTTCAACATATATATTATATTGAAAAAAGAAGACAAAAAGTCATTTTACAAATAAGAATATATAATTTTCTTCTAAATGTGCGTAGAAATTGTAAAACGTATGTTTGTGAAAGAAGCTTAAAACAATATTAGATTTAAAATAATGGGGTGAATATAAACACAAAATACTAAGCCGTAACTTAAAGTAATGTATAGTAGTACTTAATCCTAACGTTTATTTAGTACATATAAATATTCCATTTCTTTGACAAAATTAGTCACTATCATTTCTTTGATGGATGTTATTTCTCTAAGAAATATTAGTTTCTCAACAATCATATCTAACTCAATCACTCTTTCTCATCACCACTAGCCATACATTTGAAAGAGTAAAGCAGATGAGTAAAAGAAATTAAAGTTAAATATTCCTACGTTCTCTTTTAAATGAACACAAGCCTCATGGACACACAACAAAAAAGAAAAAGCGAAAAAACCCATTGTATATATCTCTCTAGATTCTCTTATATAAGTAAAACCATCAAGAAGAAACAAAATAAATGGGTATTGTAGATCGATCGATGTATTACTATTAGCTAAAGACAAAAGTTGGTTATAATTACATCAAGAGAGCATATCTCATGCCATCACAAACCATGAGATGGTTAACCTCCGAGACTCTTCCGTAATCCCCGGACACCCACACACCATCTGTCCTGCTCACACGTGGAACGGCGAAGCATGACATGATCGATAACGGAAACTTCATCATCACACCGTTACTCCCGTCTCCGTCGACGACGGGCGTCGAAGGCAACGTGCTCTCGTCCGCCACACGGTGGCTTTTTCGAAGATTTTGAAGGTTTCGCCTTAATACAGACAACATCTTGAGCATAGTTTTAGACTTTTAGTTTAGGTGTTTTGGTGAAGACAATGAGTTTTTTGACGAAGGAGAAGAGAGGTTATTTGAGGGTATTTATTGTGTGAAAAGTGCAAGTGGCCAAATGGGAAAATATATTCGTTTTTGTTTATTACGTTATTGGTCTAGTAGTCGTAGTGCTTGTGTTTATCATGGAATTTTTGTTTCTTTTTTATATTTTCACAATAAAAAAAAAAGTGTTTAGAGAAGAAAAAGGGAAATAGTGGAGACAGAAACTTGAGGATTGGCTTTAGGAACTTACCCCATGATTGAGAGAGATCGTGGGATCTATTTATTTGGGTATATCTTAAAGGATAATGAAGAAGAAACAAAACTTAACTGAGTGGGATTTTTCTTAGGTTTTGAAAGGTGACACAAATAGTTGACCACAACAACAAAAAAATCTGTCACACATAAAAAGTTAAGAGGTCCGGTGGTCCGTGACTCAAGTAGTGGATGACTTATCGAGAGGTCCGATCATAAAGCAGCTTCATAGTTCAAAGCATTTATATTCTTGTATACGTAATGAAATATTATGAAGGAATATCAACTTCCAACGCATGCAGCTCAACTCCAAGCAAATTGGGGATATTTCTAACATGTGGTACATGAATATTGGGGAAAAGAATAAACGCACTTCGTGCTGTTTATTTTAATCGAATACTTGCTGTTTCTGTGTTAGGATGAAAACGGCTTGACGTTTTGTATCATTTAAAACGTCGCCACGTTATTATATGGGATGTAACTGTTTCTGACCTAATTTCTTATCTATAGGAACGTTAGGTTAATTGTTAAACTGAAGATCTTATGGCACCGGAGACGCTTCCTTTAGAGTTGGAGGAAGAGATACTCATTAGGGTTCCACCTTTATGTCTCGTTCCGTTCAGAATCGTTTGTAAACGATGGAACGCTCTTTTCCACAATGAGAGATTTGTCAAAAGTCACTTGGCTCTTCCTAGCCCTGAATTCATCATAACGACGGAATCCAAACTTTATCACGCAAGCGTCAATCTCGACTACGATCCAAAGATAAAGGTGCGTGAAACAAACTTAGATATTCCCGGTTTAGGATCTAGTGAACGTACCAAGTACCGTCATTGTGATGGCTTATTGCTTTGTACTCGGGATAATGGAGTCACTATTTGGAACCCGTGGTTGAGTCAAACTAGACGTATCGAGTCTGAGGCTCAACTATCCAGCTTCTTCTATGGCTTAGATACTTCCACAAGAAAAGGCTTCAGCAAACGTTGGAAGTAGAGAAAGCTAACGAGAAAGCTGAAGGGTCAAACAAACTTTAAGAGCGTCAATCTCGACTACGATCCAAAGATAAAGGTGCGTGAAACAAACTTAGATATTCCCGGTTTAGGATCTAGTGAACGTACCAAGTACCGTCATTGTGATGGCTTATTGCTTTGTACTCGGGATAATGGAGTCACTATTTGGAACCCGTGGTTGAGTCAAACTAGACGTATCGAGTCTGAGGCTCAACTATCCAGCTTCTTCTATGGCTTAGGATACGATTGTAGAGCACCCGAGAAGAATTACAAGATCGTATGTGCTGTTTATTTGTGGCGAGGTCGGCAAATTGCCATCTACGAGTTTGCAACCAATGCGTGGAAGTATATTGATGCTTGTTTTGAAGAAACGTCCATGAAAGGGATATTTGGTCAGCCATACTCTAATGTATCACTGAATGGAAATTTATATTGGATTGCTTATTATGATATCTACACGTGGATATTTCATCCAAAGTTTCGATTGTCTAAGGAGATGTTCAAGAATTTTTGCATACTACCGTGTCAAGGACGTTATCCAGACAATCATGCCCTAGCAGTTTTCAAGGGAGACCGGTTTTCGTTGTTAGAACAATGCGAAAAAACAAGGAGGATTCAGATTTGGGTAACAGCGAATAAAGTTGAATATAATAATGGAGATGTGGTGTGGATTAAGTTCATGACTGTCCTAACGCTAAACTGTCCGTTGTTATCTAACAGCTCTTCTCCTAGTTACTTCGTGGATGGTAATATCTATGGAAAGAGCTTGATCATTTGCTGTATCGATGAATATCTTCAGGCTTGCATCTTTATTGTGAGAGGTGGTCTGTCTAGAAAGATTCAGTTAGAGTCTGTGGTTGGTAAGGTTTGTCTCTCTCTTTGTGTTTCTAGTTTAATCCCCATTCCTTGGGAAAGTTCAGAGCAGGAGAACAACACGAATTTAGATGTTTAATTTTATTACATTTTAGCTTTCTTGTTTTGTTTGGTTATGAATTAACTAGCATCTAAAGAGAATTTATTTGTTTGTGTACTTTACTCTAGTTAAAATATGGAGTTGTTCACTATTATATTTACTGGTTATATTCGGTTTCATAATAAGTACTATTGTTTTTATGATTGTATTCTTGTTTCAAAATAAGTATCATTTTTAGACTTTTTATTCTAAACTCTTGATACGTGCACCAAGGTAATTTGCTATAATATCGAGAGAGTAGATATACATATAATATAACTAGGGAAATCGGCCACTTCATTCCTCAACACATCTCCATGGTCCCGATCAGTGCCTGTACTTAGGACCTGTGCTAAAACATACAACAACACAAGTATCTTACAAAATTCAGAAAGTACACAGCACAAATAAATTTTCCAATAGGACCTGTGCTACATGCATTGAAGGTTTTTTCTAAAAAGAATTATAGTTGGGTTTAAAATGGATTGAATGGTTTTTTATGGTTTTTTTCCCAATAAAAACCCTTACGATCATAATAAGTTTTGATTGTTAAGAGTATCTAACCTAATTTCTTATTCCTCTATTCTTATTCTTATTTCAATATTTTAAGTTTTACATTGTTTTTTTTTTCTTTTTTGTTTGATTAAAACTTTTTCTATTATTTATAAGAACGTTAGGTTAATTGTTAAAGTAAAACACAAGATCTAATGGCACCGGAGACGCTTCCTTTAGAGCTGGAGGAAGAAATACTCATTAGGGTTCCAGCTTTATCTCTCGTTCGCTTCAGAATCGTTTGTAAACAATGGAACGCTCTTTTCAACAATAAGAGATTTGTCAACAATCACTTGGCTCGTCCAAGTCCTGAATTCATCATAACGACGAAATCCAAACTTTATTACGTAAGCGTCAATCTCGACAACGATCCAGATATTCCCGGTTTAGAAACTCGTAAAAACTCAATGGTCCATCATTGTGATGGCTTATTGCTTTGTACTCGGGACAATGGAGCTACTGTTTGGAACCCGTGGTTGAGTCAAACTAGACTTATCGAGTCTAAGACTCAACTGTATAGCTTCGTCTATGGCCTAGGATACGATAGTAGTGGACCCGAAAAGAATTACAAGATCGTTGGGATTGTTTATGTTCAGCAACGTTGGAGAGTTGGCATCTACCAGTTTGCAACAAGTGAGTGGAAGTATATTGATGCTTGTTTTGAAGAAAAGCCCATGAAAATATTAGGTCACCCATACTCTAATGTTTCATTGAATGGAAATTTATATTGGATTGCTAATGATGATACCACACGTGAATATTTCATCCAAAGTTTCGATTGTTCCAAGGAGATGTTCAGGCGTTTTTGCATACTACCGTGCCAAGGACGTTATCTAGATAATCATGCCCTAGCAGTTTTCAAGGGAGATCGGTTTTCGTTGTTAGAACAATGCGATAGAACAAGGAGGATTCAGATTTGGGTCACAGAGAATAAAGTTGATGATAGTGGAGATGTGGTGTGGATTAAGCTCATGACTGTCTCAACACCGAGCTGTCCAATGTTATCTAAAGTCTCTTCTCCAAGTTACTTCGTCGATAGTAGTATATATGGAAAGAGCTTGGTCATTTGTTGTATCGATGAATGTCTTCAGGCTTGCATCTTTATAGCGAGGGAAGATCTTTGTAGAAAGATTAAACTGAAGTCTGTGGTTGGTCAGTTTTTTCACTCTCTTTGTGTTTCTAGTTTGATCCCCATTCCTTGGGAAAGTTCAGATCAGGAGAACAAAAAGGGTTTAGGATGTTTAAAGGGGGGTTATTGGGAGATGAAGTTCAAAGAATTTTTAAAATTTTAATAATCCATTGTTATTGGTTTGATGATAAAAGGGAGTAACTTGGATTACATAAATGTAAAAGAGACTACCGAATCTTCCGTTTCACTTTATGTAAACACCTACAAAAGGAGGTAACTAGCCTTGTAGACCATGTGTTCCCACGTCCTGGATTTAATTGTAATGAATGTACCGTTGACGAAGTTCCAGTCGTAAGCGAGATCCAGATCCAGATCGTGGTTGTAAGAAGAAACATAAAAAAAAACTTTCGAAGCTTAACATGCACGTCAAACATATCCAGTAGATAACAAGAAAAGAGTATCAGCCCCATTATTTTCCTAATCTCTATAAATATCCTAGCAACCTTTAGCCTTAAAGGAACTCAACACAACGCAAGAAAATCAGAAAGAAGAACAAAATAAAAAAATAAATCAAAGATGAAACATCTCTTTCTTGCTCGTTGCAATAACATCATCTCGTGTTGCTGGTGAGAAACGAAGTAGTGCTTGGTTCCAACGGAAACCTAGAGCTACGAGAAGTTGGGACGACACTTTTACTTTTCGGTTCCCGTTGGTATCAAGCACTACTTCCTTCTGACCAGCAACACTGGATGCTGTTATTGCAACGAGCAGGAAAGAGATCATTAACTCGGATTGTGATGATTACAACCTTGTTTCATCTTTGATTTATTTATTTATTCTTTTGTTTTTCTTTCTGGTTTTCTTGCCCATAAGCGCCGGTATTAAAGATGAAGTAATATATGGAGGCTGGTATTAAAGATGACGTCTACTACTACCTTGCCGTTCTATTTCATTCGGTTTACGATTTAAGGCATGTTCCACTTTTATAGGCTAATCTTGTTCTTCTGGTGTAATGTTTCACTTTAAATCAAATCAAAGAAAACTTGTTGTCGTCTTTTCGTTTCCGTTTTTTTCTTCTTCTAATGTACAGTGTACTTCATATGAATCATAGAATTGATTGGTTGTGTCTGTAGCTTTGAATTTTTTTGCTGTAGAATTTAGGCTGTAGATGTTTTTGCTGTGGCTGTACATTATGGTGTTATAGAATGTTTTATTATAAATAATTTATTATAAAATATCATAAATGTAGCATTAAAAATAAATAAAAGAGAAATTAGAAAGAAACATTAAAAAGGGAATATAGAGAGTGAGATTAAAGAATAAGAAGAGAGAGAATTTTCAGAGCTCTTAAATTTGTGCTCTGAAAAATCTGCTCTGCAGAGCCAAAATATTTCCATATTTAAAATTGTGGCTCTGAACTTAAAAAATGAAATCAAAGCATGATTGGTTTAACACTAGTGCTTTAGAAATAATTATTGCTCCGCAGAACCCTCAGAGCACTTTCCAATCACGCCAACTCAGTGTAATGTTTCATTAACTGAAAGTTAAGTTTATTTTTTGTATTTTCTTATTTAGGATTATGTTAAAATCTACAAGTAAAATTTGAAACGAAACCGTGCCCCAAAGATGATGCAAATTGTTAGCATTGAAAATAACCCAATGACCTTCTTTCAATATCTCTCCTCCCTGATATAAAAGAACACAAAAAACTATTAGTAACAAGAAGATGAGGAAAAAAAACGAATAGTCAACAGAATTATAGGGAGAAGTAATTAACCTTATTTATCTAAGGGACAGTATAGTGGATGCAACGGTGGGAGTGGAGAAGGAAATAGTAAAAGAAAGTAAAGCACCAAAACACAAGCAAAAATATCATATAACCACAAAAACAACCAGAATAAGTAGCCTAAGCATATAACGAAATCAACCAAAGAGAAGGAAATTAGTAGCCTAATCTTTACGGTGTCGTTTGTTAATTGCTTGATTTTAGTTATCTACTTATCTTAGATTACATGGGCATACTTGTTACTCACCTCTGGAATCAACTTAAAATACTCTTATGTTGTGTCTGCGTTATAGCTCATGGCCCCATTCTTTCTCGTTCTGCTTGGAGAGAATCATGAGACTAACTAAATGCAAATATGTGAGCATAAAAGATACAAATTGTTAAAGTTTTGTTATTAACTAGGAGTAGTCAGTCTATCTCGCTTTTCTTGGTTGAATATTTGTCCAAATCGTTTCAATTTATTTACGCTCAAGTTTCTTTCAGTCTTAGATGACATTCAAGATTCACAAACACACCTCAAGTGGACTCAGAAACATATGCTAAATGTAATGTTTTGTTTCAAATTCTTGTCACTATTGGAAAATCAATTACATGCTATGAACAACAATCGCATGGGTCATTTACTAAAAATATGATATTAGCTGTCGTAGCTTCTTAAGAGTCGCTCCACGATCTGTGTTTCTCCAGTAAGATGTTGAACAAGTTCTGTGAAAACGAAACATAAAACAAAACAAACCAAAGCTTAAGGTTTGATATAAAACCAAAGTCTTATTGATAAAAAAGCTTGTCGTAATAGTTACCATTGGTATAGTGTCTGCAATCATGAAAGCCGACTCTAAGATCAGTCTCCCATGATTTATTAAACTCAATTGCCATTTCCATTGCATCATTCTCTTTCGATGATCCAACCATCCAACATTTTTGTCTTGGAACATTCTTCAACTTTCTTTGCATCACTACTCCTACAAAACCCAAAAAGTTTCAGTCAGAATCTTGACTACAGTTGCAAAGATTCCTACTTTTTATCTACATGATCAAAGATTCGTTGAAAGAAAAAGCTGTCGGAATCATAGATTACAATTCGATATGACTGTCTGAGAATCAGAACCTGGAATCAATTTTCCTGATAAGATTAAGATTGCTGATTCTATGCTTTCTGGATTTACAGGCTGGAAATCAAACACGATCACCTGGAGAAATCCACACACACAAAAAAAAACGGATTTTAGCCACATAAATTTTTCGCTGAGGAATTTATACAAACACAGTAGTCAATAATGGAAAAACCTCTTGACGAATTGGAGAAGATGGTTTGATAAGGACCATGAAATGCTGCAGATTCTTTAGATTCAGTGAGTAAGCCATCGACATAACAAGCTGCGGTGGACCAGCCGCCGCTTTGAGCGGCACCGCCGCCACATAAACGGCGTCTCCACCACCACTCGTGCCGTTTGTTGACGGTGTTGTGAAAAACAGAGACGCCATTTTATTTTTTTGTCTCTGTTTATTGCTCTGAGTGGACCAAAATTATATATCCATATTTACTTCATTATCCCAATATATGACGTCATAATATATATCTTTGAAACTAAATTTATAAGAGACTTGTACCATGAAGTCTTCCTCTGTTTACTACTCTTAGTGGTCCAAAATTAATCATAGCTATGAATTTAATCCCAACATATGACGTCACAAAAAAGCTCTAATTGGTATCTATCAATCATCTTAGCTTGCAAATGAAGCAAAATTCAACCAAAGAACAAAAACAAAAATTAGTAGAAACGAATCTCAATACACAAACACTGATGAAATGACAAGTAAATAATTGATAAAAATTGTATAAAATATAAAAAATGGTGTTCAAAAATCAAAAAAAGGAAATTTCGAAATGATGTAAAACAAATAATACAAATCTCTTTCAACATTGTGTAAAACTTAGAACAGACTCATCAAAACCCTTTCTTCTCACAAGAACAATGCCGCCACTAAACCGGAAACCGCCACAGCGATCGGCGCGAAAGCCAGGCTCTTTGCAGAGTTCTTGTGCGAAGATTTCGGTGAAGCGACACCTTCGGAATCAGCAGAAGGCGAATCGGAAGGTGAGCTAACGACAGGAGCCGGAGCCGGAGCAGGCATCGGAGGAACATCAGTACCAAAGATCGCTTCCGGTAAGAGAACCCGGTTAACTTGGTAAACCGCAACAGGATCGGTCGAGAAAACGCTGCTGCTGACTTTAGTCCTGGTCCACAGCGAATCAATCCGAACCGTACCGGAAACATCAGTGAATTTCAACGAGTATTGTCCACCGGCAAATGTGCTAACCGGACCGGATTGGCTCAAGTTCTTGAATTCGGAGAGAGAGTAGTAATGAGGAATAGCGTGGAAGAGAAGAAGCTGCTTGAGCTGATCCTTTGTGAGGTTCGACAATGGAGGATTCTTCTGAGCCTTGAAAGCATCGTCTTTGGGGACGAAGATTGTGATGCCTTCCTCTGTGTTGTTGGCTTGGTTTTGGAACGTTTCGATGACTCCTGACGAGAGAAGGTAGTCGAGGAACGTGTGGAACGGACCGGCTACGCTTAGGAGCTCGGTGAGATTCACGTGGTCTGGCGCCGGTGCCGGAGCTGGTGTCGGTGGCAGGATTGGAGCCGGAGGGCTTGCGGTTTTGGCGGTTGTTGTTGGTGAAGAGAAGAAGAGAAGCGTGACTGCGATAAAGATTGATAATTGCATCTTTGCCATTGCTTCTTTGACTCTCTCACACACTGCATTTTCACAAAATTTAACAAAGATCGAATCTTGATAATCAAGAACTCATGAAAATCCATTCTTAGATCCGGATCTGTTTTCAAGAACCAAACATTGTCTAAATCGAATCACAGATTGTGACTAGCAAACTAAAGAAGTGTTAGTTTAACCAGATCTTGAACTTTTTTTCTTTTAACATTACTAAAGAATTGACACACTAACAAACGTTGAGACAGTGAAGCTTAAGTACACAAGACATAAAAAGGAGAGAACTAGATCTGGATCAGACAGAACAGAGAGTTAAGTTTAAGACAAGTGTAAAGAACATTTGATGAAGTAGTTCAATGGCATTGTTGTGATTCTGACTGTAACCAAAGTGGAAGAGAGAGGAGAGAGGAGCTGACCTGAGCAAATAATGATACGGTGTGAAGAGTCTTTCTTGGAAGATGGAGAGAGCAGAGGAGGAAGAAGAGAAGAGAAGGTATTTAAAGAAAGTTTTTTTTTTAATATCAAAGGAAAGAGAGAAGACAGGCTGTGTTGTTGCGGCACCGTTTGTGTTACTGCTGGTTACGCCGTTATCCATAATTTTGTTTTTATTCACCTTTGATATTTTCTTGGTTGGTAACTTTTGTTCT